TTTTTTTTTTTTTTTAGGACGAGGCATAAATTGCTGTGATATACACGAGCTCGGACTTGCCAAGTGACTATATACAGCAGAGCTGGTAACAAATTGCACAGGGGAAAGAAAGTTTGAGTGCTTTTCATGGCTGGTGTCGAGTACGCAAAGTAAGACATTTCTCCTTCTTCAGGGGCTGAATCTTGACTTGGGCGAGAGTGACACGTGGCAAAAAGAATTGCACAGAAGGCTCAATCCTAGTCGAGGGGAGTGACAGCAGGCACGTGCTGTCAAGATATAGCGTGATCAGAAAGACATACTATGAGAGAGCATGTTCGAGAATACACGCCAAGAGATAAGAATAAGCTCGAATGTTGATAATGAGCAAGATCCAATATTGGCACGCTAACAGCCTCGTGGCATTTATGCCGCGCAGCACGTGCAGCAGGAGGAGATAGTGGTGGTGGTGGTGACCGGGGCACGATTTGAAGCACGAGGGCGCACAACAAAAGGGGTGATGGTGGTGGCGATGGCGGCCGATTGTGGCCGCAATCATTGAAAGGCGCCGCTGGGGCGCGGCAGTTGGGGAGAGGTGGTGGGCATTGGTGAAAGCTGTAGATGGTACGCATGAATTTGCGTAAAAACCCAACAAGGTGGACGAGGTTGAAGAATCTCTCGTAGAGAAAAGGCAGGCACGAGCACTGGTGGCCTGCGGCCAGCTGCCCGTAGCTTCCCGGGCAATTTTGCCGAAAGCCTCGCAGATTTGCCGAAAGTTGTGCCGACCTTGCGCGGCGATGCAGGGTCCATGGACATGAAATGCATAGGCAGTTGGGACGCGTGCGACGCGTGAAAACCACGCATCACGTGCAGGGATGTGTAAGCGCTGACGCGTTGGTCTTGCAAGGGCAACGCGTCAGTCTCGCGGGCGCAACGCGTTGGTCTTGCGGGCGCGTAGGAAAGAGGAGAGGGCAAGACAAGCACATGGACTTGCTTGCGCCTAAGTTGTAGCCCATGGCGCAGGCTCTTGCAAGATCAGATGACCACCTTCATCGATCATTACAAAGCGCGACCCATCAAGCCAGTTCTTGCTGAAGCGGGTTGGCGACACTTCCTGATGCAGATGTCCTAGCAGTCAAAAGAGCACATTGGCAACTCCCCGAGCTACATCTGGGTAGCAAAAGACAACAGTCGAATCGGCTGCAAGCGCTGCAGCCATGAGAGAGTGTCGCCGAGTGCAAATATATTGGATGACGGCATTGCGCCATAGAATTACTCGCTCTCGCCGTGTCTGGGCGGGGGAGCGTCTCCGCTTCCAACTTGTGAGAATCAGCTCACAGTTGAAGTCGAACGGAACACCAGCAAGCGCTGGTTCGAGCGCGTAAAGGACTGGAAGGGCATCGCGCCAGACAAGCTGGGCAACGGGACACTCTATGTATCCATGCTGCGTGCTGTCCCGCACACTGCACCCATGAGCGCAGTCATCTACTGCGTGTGTTGAGTGACGGATGATGTCTGGATCATCGTCGAGGGCGGAGAAGGCAGGACGTGCCTGATCCGTGCCGATCAGGATGCGTCCTTGCACTCTTGAGTCGTAGTCGTTGGCTAGGTTGGTGGCAACTGTAGGGGAGTAGAGGTCAGTGAAGGGCAGGTGAGATCGGTTAGAGGGCGCCTGTGAGCCGTGAAGTGAGTGTGCAGTGCTGGAGGAGCCTGCATTGAGCGCCGATGTTACACGTCGGAAAGGTCCTCTTGGAGCAGCAGTTTGGTCAGCAGGAAGAGGCTGCGAAGAGGATATATCAGCGTCTGGTGTAGTTTGAGGGCGCTCCTGCATTCGCCGTTCCCGGCGGTTGCTGGCCGGACTCGCTCCGTCAAGGTCACGATCATCCGAGTCGTCGTCCGTTTCATCCTCGCCAAACAGCTCTGGCAGCACTTCCTCGTCCTCAAAGCTCTCATGCCGAGTGGTTTGGTAGCGAGCCTCCGCTGCGCGCGCCCTTTCGCTAGTGGCTGCAGTCCATGTCCGGCGTAGCAGGAACAAGTGCACGTTTGACCTGACCTCCAAGGGCATGTTGAAGCAGCCAAAGTTGTGCCAAACAGCAGACCAGTTCACTTTGTCTCGAATCCCAGGCCAGTCCGGTGCATAGGGCTGCCCAGCCGAGGCGTCAGCCATGATTTGACCCCTAGCCCACCGAGTGGTCACTCCGTCTAGCCGCTTGTTTCCAATCAGCATGATTTGCCACGGCAGCCGGCACTCAGTTGGCTCTACCCGGAAAGCTCAAATGCCTTTCAGCGTGGATTGCGTGCCTGGCGGCGCACAATTAGGTTCTGTTTGAATGCCAGTGTTGGCATCCAACATCGAGCGCAGCACCTTCCGAACATCCTCTGGTAGCCGCTTCCACCACGCATTCCAGACGCGGTTGATGCGTCCAAAAGTAGTCCTGAGCGATCGGGACGGATTGCCGCTACCATTGGCAACCTTCTCTGGGCTAAGTCTCCCACGCCGTCGAGGATAGTTGTGGTCTGCACTGTGTGCAAAAGGCGGGCTGAGTGGAGACGAGGCCAGATACGCCCCACGAGCCTCCTCACGGTGAACAACGCCTCTGAACCATACAATGTCCGCAAAGGTGCATAACAACTTGGACATCAGCTTCTTTCGTCCCTCCACCGGTACGCCAATATGTTCAAGTGCAGTGACATGTGCTGCACGGATGCGGTCACGTGGGATTGCCTCAACTACAGATCCATCTTTGCTCTTCTCCGGCAAGGGCCGGTTTGTTTTTCCTGCATCATCAGGCGACTCGGAGCGCTTCCGGCTATGGTTGCCTGCCCGGTTTGGCAGTACGTGAACGCGTCAAGTCCAGCGCTGGAGAAAACCAGGGCAAAAATCAAATCGACCGTGGCATGATTCGAACATGCGCGGGCGAACCCAATGGTTGTCACGGTTTCGAACCCACGCGGGGTTTCGACTCCGATAAATTCTAGACCATCCCAGTAACCACTTTGGTACACGGCCATGGTGTGTCATTTCATTTGGTAAAATATATGAAGCAGTCACTCATGAGGCTGAGATCCATCCGACAATCGAGTTCTCCTTCCTTTTTTGTTTGCGTACTTGACCGTTCGGCCCTTTGCCGTTCTTTATCTTCGCCGCCCGATCTTTCCTGCCCCCTTGCTACTTCGTTCCACCTCTCGACCTTCTTCTCTCTCTGTGTCCTCTCTTTCTGTTGGCTGCCTCGCAAGCGGCTCTCTCACTGTTCTGCGGCGCTTCCTTGCAAGTGCAGGGTTACTGCGGCACGGATGCGTCTTGTGTGATACTCGAGACAAAAGATCCGGTGTGGTCCTCTGTCACTTTGTCCGGGCTCATGCCGGCCAATTTGATACCGACATAAGCAAGGAAAGCGCGCTCGTCCGGCGTTGTCGCAAGGTTTCGATCGAGAATGCTGTATGGAGTCACGAGACATTCGATAGCGAAGAGTTCGTAGCGAATGAACGTTGCTGTCGAGCTTATTATTATACAGCAATCCGGATGTTAGAAGTGTGACGCGCGCCGCGCGCTCTCCTATGCATGTGTGTACATGCGCACTTGTAAAGCATCACTGATGATCGCAAATGCCATCATCGTTCACTCACACAAATGACTTGGATCGCTGTGGGGTCCTGGATACGAATTTCAAGCTCTAGACACAAATTTCTTCGTGTAACGATGTCATCTCGTGATTCTGTACTACACCCAGAAGTGCAATTCCTTTCAACCATAGTGAATCAGTGAGACTCAGATACTGGTCCGAAGTCTGAGTGCGCCCATTTTGCCGCGTCTGAGCACATGGGACGAATGCCGAATACAACAACGCTCGTTTCGTACGAGTGCCGGCGGCTTCTCCTTGAGATTCTGTCGCGCACTCCAGTGTTGCAGCGGCTCGCAATCTCACTTCGAGTCTCTATTCATGAACGACGCTTCAAGTGCGCTGAACGATCGAGCTGTAAATATTACGGCTTGGCGAGCCCCCTCAATCTCGGTCCATTTCTAGATGACTCATCGGCGCTTAGTCTTTCCAGCCGCTATCCGACAAGAACAGCCCTCTCGTCGTAAGACTCGGATCGCTTTGCGGTCTGGCATCCTCAAGCTCGAGCTTGAGCTGGTCGAATATGCAGGCAACCTTTTATGGGGGCGTTTTGCAGCCCGTCATGGTCATGATGCTTGTAGCTCGCGCACAAGCTTGTCCAAGTCCGGGTCTTCAACTCCCGCAGGACTTTTCTTTTGCCATAACATCTTACTGCCAGGCCCGCCATAGTCCGGCCTAAATTGCCCCGCCTGCCCCGCCTTGTTGATGCAGCTCTCATAACGCGCAGTCTCTCCGCACGAAAGGCCGATGTAGAAAGAAGGAAGAGCATGCCAAGGCTATCAGGTGTGCCGCGGCGCACTCCGCGCACCTCCAAACCTGTACACGTCGCCTCTTAAAGAGCATGATCTTCGTTGGCGACCACTTGAAGAGGTGCGCAGTCCTCATCAACAGCTCGCCTTCTCCCAAGAAAGCCGCTCTACCACCTCTCTCAGCACAAGGACAAAAACAAAGAAGTAGTAGTAGAATTCAGGTGTGCAGGGCTAGGAATACAAACAAGTGGGGAGTTGTCGGGGAATTAGGGAGGGTGATAAATTGAGCTCGAAAGCCTTCAGATATTGGGAGTAAGGTATTGGTCGCTTTCGAGTAGCCCACCAGAACCGGCTAGGTAGAGGCTTGACGAGAACGACATGATTGAGCGGATGTATGTCCTTTTGACCATTGAACTCTTGAGGCCGAGGATTTACTTGTTGCAGATGCAGACAGAGTCCTCGTTGCAGTGTCCGTCCTCTGTGAAGGGTCAAGAAGCGTGTGTTGTCAGTGTGCGAATGAGGAACAAGAAGGGAGCGCATGCGCTAGCTACTCACTCTTTCCGCCCGTAGCGTCGAGGCAAGAGGCGGAGCAGAGGGCGTCTCCTGAGTTGAGAGGACCAATGTTTCCGACTTGGCAAGAGAGACGACGGACCAAGTCTCGGCTTGCCAGGTCCTCGGCGCGCTTGGCCATCATGGCCGAGTGTTCATCCTCGCTACGCTTGCGGTAAGAGCAGACGCAAGTTCCAGAAGAGCAGCTGCCCGACTTGGCTCCGCGGTGCTCGCACTTGAGGTTGCAGGCCTACGGTAGAAGAGGCGCATGAGAGAGAATTTGCAGAGAGTCAGCAGCTCGCCATCAGCCATAGCACCTGGATGCGGTCTGCGAAGCGTAACTCACACCGCTAATGGCACCGTCGATGAGGCAGGTGGGAGTCTCGCGTGCCTCGACGAGCTCGAAGGAGGAGTCCACTGCAGCAGCGCTGGCGAAAGCAGCGACGATGGCGAAAGTGCTGGCGATGGCGAAGAACTTCATTTTGAGAATTTCGAGTTTGGGTTTTAAGTTGTCGAAGTGGATTCGATTAGAGAGCTGAGTGCTTCAAGTTTGCTTTGATGAGCTTGTTGATTGTGAATGTTTTGATGAGGAAAAAAAGAGGGAGGATGAAGTTGGATTCGAGGGCCCTTCTTATACCTTTCGGTCATCCCGTCGAGCGTGCCATACGTACACCTCGAACCGTCGTCTTTTGCCGTCGACGAAGAATGTTGCTCGCAACCTCTCCGTCATACTCTTCAGACGTAGAAGGAATGCTGGAGCTGACCATCACACTGCCCAGCTTCCGAAAACGTGCCCCATGACTGTGTCTCTCCGCTTCTGACCGCTCCACGACGAAAAAGAAAAGAAACTTGCCGCTGCACAATGATGGCCAATCAACGTCGCCTTCTTAGTGCGCTCGAAGTGAGGACCACTCTGCATCGTAGCAGGGGCTGCAAGAGCGAGAACGTGAAGGTGAGTTGTTGGTGTGAGAGATACACTTGCACAGCAAAGCGACTATGGCAGCTGCTATCGACGCTAGCTTGGCCGAGTGCCACACCTTGACGCCCACGCTAGTTTTGCACCGCCTTCACTAGCGAAGCAAGTGACGATCTTCGGCCTCGACCAGTACTTGGAGTCAGGTTCTTGCAGAGGCACGGTTCAAAGTGCAGTATCTGTGGTATCTCGTCAGGTGTTCGACTGTTCCGCGCGGACAGCTGTGGCGCGCGATCAGCAGGGCTGTGCGCCCATTCGAATCTGCATCTGCGCTGCGATGGGGCCACGGTGATCATAGCCCCAATTGCCTGGATTGCCCTTTCAGCAGATGTTGCAGCCGCATCCGTGCATCCCCACGTTGGCTTTTGCAGCGACCACAACTCGTGAATGCCAAGATTCGACGGCTGATTGGGCTAAAAGAACCGTCTCTGCACGAAGGTGCGCTGCAGTCGGACAGTGCTATCATCCATCCAGTCGGCGAAATGTTGGGCGATCTGCGAGGGCGTGTCACTGACTCGTGGCTTACCGGGTTACGGTGACACAATCTTGAATAAGGCTGGATGTCCACACGCTGAATGACGGCGGCTCATCGATGTGATCTTCTGATGAGCCCGCCATGCGAAGCGGAAAAGCAGCGAAAGGCGCGTGCGTTTTGTGGGCGTGACGCGCTAATTTAGCTCCGAACGGTGAGTGGCACCAACGAAACGGTGCATCACGCGCC